GGCCTTGTCACACACAAAAGTTACATCTCTTGTTATATACGTCTTGCTTTATCTTGGTCTTAACCATCCATCAGAAAGTGTAAAAACGAGGAATAAAAGTAAATTCATTTTAATATGCTGAACTTTAAAAGGCTCAAGTCAACAAATTCTGACAAGGCCAGTCCTATGGATAACTGACTACTATTATAGATTAATGGACTATTTTGCATTATTTCACTAAATTCATGCACCTACAACATCTAAATAGCAATGAAATACCCATCTCTGTTGAAACTAAACAAAAAGGTTATATATATCACTATATCAACAAAGCCAAATCTAAAAACTACATGATCATCTCAATTGATGCAGACAAGACGTTTGACAAAGTCCAAAATTCATTCTTGTTCAAAGTCCTATAAAAAATTGGAATAGACAGCCTCTAATTCAATCTGGTAAAAGCCAAAGATGACAACCCAATGGCTAAGATAATTCTAAATGGAAAAAACTGAAATTTTTACTCCCAAATCTGGTACAAGACAAGGATATCCTGTATCAAGACTCCTGGTCAATATAGTTCTGGAAACAATCGCTAGAGCCATTAGACAATAGACAGAAAAGGAATAAGAAAAAGTTAAAATATCATTATTTGCAGATGATCTGATACTTTACATGGAAGACCCAAAAAATTCAACCATGAATCTACTAGCATTAATACAAAAATTCAGTAACATACCAGGATACAAAGTCAAAACCCAAGAGTCAATAGCATTTCTCTACAAAGATAACACACTAAAAGAGAAATAAGAGATACAACAACCTTTACAATACCACCAGGAAAATGAAATACCTTGAAATTCATCTAACTAAAGAATTCAAAGATCTTTTCAATGAAAATTACACTACTCTAAAAAAAAGATCGATCATAGACAATTTTAGAAAATGGAAAGAAGTTCCTTGCTCCTGGATAGAAAGAACCAACACTGTGAAGATGGCCATATTCCCAAAATTGCTGTACATACTTAATGCAATCCCTACTAGACTACCACGAACATATCTCGCAGAGGCAGAGAAAACATTCCTAAAATTTAT